AGTGTCCATCTAGGATTGGCAGACACCTCAGGGGACCTACAGAAGTCCTCCAATGTTCAACTGCTGCAGGGTGGGATATCTCACTCTACTGGAATGGCAGTAGGGCCTTTCACAGCTGTGCTGTGCTCCCTGTGCACACCCACAGGCAGTCTCAGCACCTGCTGATGTTTGCATATTTTCAGTGTGACTTGTCTAATAAGTATTAATTATTTCTGTGTATTGTTCTTTTAATAGTTACCACAGACTTTTTCCATTTTACACATGGACGAGGAGGTTAATGATCTGGAATCTCACAAGCACTGTATCATAATTATGTCAGTCATTAAACCTCTAATGATGTGTTTGAAATATGGAAGAGACAAAAGCCTGTCTCGCTCTTCGCTCATGCTCCAACCTGTCCTGTACATTTTCATATTTGCTGAACTCAGTAGGCCAAGGATGTTAAACTTCACTTAGAAATGAGGCTGGCAGACCACTGGTGTGTTTCATCTAATATCCCACCCCTGAAATTAGCCACAGTTGGAGGGAGAATTACTGTGATATCTAAAGAGTGGCCTGGCTAGCAAGCGAGGACATTCTGGCTCCATTCTTCCCAGTCAGTGGTTAGTTTTATACCTGTGGACATGCCACTTCAGCCTTTTTTGTCTCTATTTCTTTTGCCATGTACCTTCCTTAATTACTGAAGGGGAATGAATTTCATCACAAAAGCTGTATGATGGGGACAATGAGACCCAGGCTTGCTGTAACTGTATAGAAAAACCCTGCTACGCCTCAGAGGCCACTGTCTATTGACCACTTGGAGTGTTTCTGGTAGGGCAAAACTGCTGTGCTGTGGGCATCTCTGGATATATTTTTCATTTTATCTTCATTATAAGACTACTACAGACATATGTAAGTTTTGCCTGAATTTTATGTCCAATGGCAGTTCAAATTACTTCTTCCACCACAGAAATTGAAAGCTACTGAGGAAACAGTAGAGTGTTTTTGACGTTTTTGTCAGTCAGCTAAACGTTTCAGGCTCATCATAAATTTTAATTTTGAAACATCGGTTTAAGAAAACCAAAACTCAAGTAATACACATTTGCTTTGAAACCTATTCTTTCAGTTTTAAACTTCAGAAATATAAAGAGAAAAATCTTGGAAACTTGTATTGTTTGACAACATATGGGATGATGCTTAGCTGGAAAAGAATTATGATCTGATATTTAAAAAAATCAGCCTTTCTCATTTATTTTTAAGATTGTGATTTTTTTTTTTTATTAATTTTGTACTGAAAATTCTTTTAAAATGAGAACCTTTCCCCTCCCCTCTTGTCCCACAGTTCCTCAGAGAAAACTCCCGTATTTCTATTTCTGTACTTGCCCATTAATTCCATAGTGAAAGTTCACCCTTTCTGAGGAAAGGGCAGGTTTTGCATTGTAGTTTAACACCTATCTTTTTCCCCAGCCCTTTGGCTTTTGCTGACCTGGAAAAACTGTATACAATCTACTTGTATTGAGACAAACTGGTGTCTCTACCTCGTGAAGTTTCTTTGGACCATTGCAGGGCCACAGCGTCAGCCAGGGACCTCCCTCAGCTGGGGAGGCAAGGGCAGAGGGCATGGATCCTTTGGAGGACTTGGGAGAGAGAGAGAGAGAGAGAGCGCCTTACGAAGTACAGTAGGAAAACAAAACAGCTGAAAATGTCCTGGTAATTTCTTTTCTCTGATTGAAAGAAAAACACACCTTTTTGAAAGTGCTGATAACTAAAAAAATCAAAATCCCATAAAACGGAATTAAACGTGGTTGAAACACTGGGAGGGTGACAGATATCAAAATCCTTATCATAAACCGTATATCCCGCACATAAGCCATATTTTTGTAGATGAAAAACCAAAATACTTCTAGTGATGAAATCTACTGATCTAAATTAACATTATACTAAATATTTTATTTAGTATAAATATTATTCATAATATTATTTAAATAAATATTCAATTCTTAAACAATTTTAAGCACAAGTTTCTTTTATCAGTGTGCTTTTGACATTCTGACATTATAATTAAAAAATCATTCTTGTAACTAGAAAAAACCACATATTTATCATCCAGAATAACTTTATTATTAGCCATTGTTGGAAAGTTAAAACGGATCAGAAGTTTCTGAGAACTTTTGGGATAAAACATCAAAGTACACTTACATGAAGAGGAAGGCTAAAAAAAGGATTTTTCAGGGGAATTTATAAAGGAAAATCTAAAGAACTGAATGCAAGCAATAAGCAACAGGGGTGAAACGTTGAAAATTATTATGTTAAAAGATTCCTTGATAACAAGACAACTTGTAATATTACAAATATATTTTAAGTGGCTTCTCAGTATTTCCACTAGTTGTAGATATCACAAGTAAAAAAAAAAAAAAAAAGCCAAAAATAAAATTATTTTGAAGGGTAATTTTTTTTTTAATGTTACAGATTATTTTATGTAAAATTTTAATTTGCTGTCTTGATTTTTTTAATGTCATGTCACAGTCTATTGTTGTTTTTTCTTGGGAAAACATAACTTTTAAGACAAACCCTCGAAACTGAGTCTGTCAGAAAAACTTCGTAACTTTCCCATTTCATTCCTTTCTCAAACCATTACCCACTCTGTAAAAAAAAAAAAAAAGCTTGGAGAAAATTAGCATAACACTCTTCAGCCATGTTTATTCATTGGTTTTTACAAAGAGTTCCATGACCTATTTTCTGTGCACTCAAATATTTGCTGACTGCTGGTGTTAAAGAAAAAACTTGACCATTTGCTAGTTTGGGGGTTTATTGTCAGGTATTCTTAGTGTTTAATTTTGACAATGTTAATCTGGATATTAAGTAGCAGAGGCATAATGGTGGCATAGTGAGACCAGATAAATACACTAACTAATACTTGAATAATCCTCTGACAGATTTTATTATGTTTGGGGTTGGTTAGTTTTCCAGTGTTTTTTTTCCATTTATATAAATTACTTAGGAAATGCATTTGAGTAAGGAGAAAAGTAAAATGATCTGCTGTGAAATGGCAACCTTTGCTTTGGTGAAAATCCCATCAGAGATGGTCAGAGATGTAGTCTCAGCTCTTGTTTCGCCTGTCTTGGGATTCCTATATAATTATGAAAGATTATTTTCCATTTTCCTTCAGTAATCATTCTGTAGTAAGCACATGTCACTGCATTGGCACTGGTATTTATGCTGCATCTAAATCTGTATAAATACAATGTTAAATCACATCTTCTTTATCCGGGTAACAGTGATGTAATCTTGCTACTTAAATTTCACTGGACAGAAACATCCTTCCCTTGAGTTGTTCCCTGAATAGTGTAATCGACAAAAGTGGGTCCTTTTGGAAAGTAATTGGGCAAAAATCTGCAGCTTTCAGCACATAATGAACGGTTCATTCCTTGAATGGGATGTGCTCTGTGCTTTTGAAATTTTAGATTACAAGCATTTAACCAATACTATGACAATGAGCAGTGTGTTGCTATTCCTCTTAATTTTTATATTTTGATATTTTTATTATTTGTACACTTTTCTGCTACATCTGGTGCTGCCCCCTTGCCCATCACCTAGTAATGATGGCAGCAACAGGAGTTGATCTCACCTCCTCACTTTTCTCCCAAAAGTATATATATATACATAAAAAGAGGATGAGAACAAGGCCTCACTTTGCAAGCTTGCTCTTTCCTGCCTGCCCTCCTGGAGCCATATTTCTTCTATCCCTAAGAAGTCTTTTTTGTCTGACAACTTTTATTTTCCTTTATTTTCTCTTCAGTATTTCTAGCTAGTCCTCTAAGACAATTTCATCTGTATTTTTCTCCTCCTTCTGCTTCCGTAAGTGTAGTTATGATTCAAAATTATAATTAAAAAAAAAAACAAAACAAAAAACTAGACTATGTTTTTCCAAGCACTAAAGGAGCCCTCAGGATTTTTAAGTACTTTCATGAAGAGTATTGTAGCTGATTTGACAGCACAACTGGAACTACGGCATGGCTTGATCAGAAAGCAAAAAATGTAAGATCTTCTAGAAATACTAGAGTGGCGTTTCTTCCCCAAGATTTCTTATTTCTTTCAGAAATGAGTAGGATATACTTTGCAGAGGGAAGACACCCCTGAGATTTCTGGCAACTCCATTTTTTATGAGTAGTGGGTGTTTTAGACCTGTTTGCGGAAAATCTGCTGTTTTTCTCAAAGACATTCTTCTCTTGGCCTGTGAAATTACAAGGAATTCAACTCCTTGAGGACATGGATATGCAAGTTGCAATTAATAATTTTTTGATGAGTGATGATTGGCTTAATTTGATGCTTATAAAAAAATGTCTGAGCTTTCAATAATATTTTAACCCTCATTTTTCTTTTGGTGTATAACTGCCTCTGAAGTTTATTGGTAAAACTCTAATTGCAAATATTTGGCAATGGGCAATTTTCATTGCATAAGTTAATTACTTTCACTGTGTTATTTACACTCATTAATGAGATATTTCTAAAACTAATTAGATGTATTTGCTTAGTTGCAAAAATCTTTCAAAGGCAATTCTAATTCCGTGTTCAGTGCTTTAACTATGTCATCCAGCACGACAGAGAAGCCAAATCCTCCATTTCTGTGACCTTTAACTCAGGCAGAACTATTTCCATTTTCTGTTCCACACATTGGTTGAGTTACTGAGCTTCAGGTAACTTGTTTGAACTTAAATTTGGCATCAATAAAGAGGTTTCTACTAAAGGAACTTGTAAAAAGAAGAGCGCATTCAGTTGTTTTTTGCCATTGACTGTGAAGAAAACCCAATAAAGCTAGCACTGCTCTGTGTGAAGCAGGTGTTTTATGTCTTTGAGGATCAGAACTGAGAAACCACATGATGTTCCCACAACAGTATTGGCTCATATCGACCCAAAACAGAAACCAGGAGAAGAAACAATCCCCTGTACTTGATGTGTGTTAAAAAGAGTCTCTGGTGAGCTCTGGATCACAGCTGGGATCTGAACACACTGTTCCACAGGGCAGAGCAGCTCTGGTGTCACACAGCAGGGAAAGGAGAAGGAAATGTCCCTTTTGGAAGTGAGCAAGGAAGAGAGGAAAACAGAATTCCTATGCACAGATGGCAGCTTTCAAATGCAGCCTGGTCTGGTTTCAGAGAGCAGAAAGAACGACCTCTAATGCACTGTGTAAGTATCCTAATTGACTTCCATTCCTAAACTAAGCTTGTGTAATTTCTCATATATTTTTCCTTGTGGAAAAGCATTTTTCCACTCAGTCTCATCAGCAGAAGACTAATTACTTTCTGTACTTTCATATTTTGGTGGCAGATCCAGTCTAAATATTAGGTTTTCTTCTTAGATTTAATAATTTCACATGCTTTTGATACCAGGGTCATTTTGCTACATATTTAATTACAGTACCTCCTAGAGGGCTATTTGCATTTAATTCTGTGGTTAGTGTTTATTCTTCTCTGTTTTATGCCAGACTTACAATACAACATTTATACTGCCTAGAATTTAACTAAATAATTTACCTGATAAGCCTCCCTCTCTCCTTTTATGCCTTTGTTTTCAACCAAGCTAGTAAAATCTAGAGACACTGACAACAAGCTCAGCAAAACTGAAATACTCTGAAAGTTGTATCAGTGCTCCAAGGTGGGTGTGACAACACATCTTCTCTGTGATGTCTGATGAATGGCAATGCATTACTGATGCTCCACAAAGTTTAACTGTTTGCAGAGAAAGTGTTAACCTTAACCATCAGTACAGAAATGAGTTCTAGGCTTGAATCATTCATATCCTTTAAAAAAGCTTAGGGAATATGATCTGGACTTACTGACCCTTGGACCTCAGCTGGCAGGGTCAGTCTTACATTGCCACATTCCTTGGGCCTCTCAAAGTCTTGCAGCCTTGGTCAAAAGAGGAGCTGTGTCAGACTGGGCTGCTCCAGCAGGAAACAAAGTCAGAGACACAGTGAAGAGGAAATGCAGGGAAATACCTCAATCCATATAAAAGCAAAACACAACAACAACAACAAAATAAAAAACCAAACCAAAACAAACAAAAAACTCCCCACAAAAAACAACAACAACAAAGCTCAAAAAAACCAAACCAAAACAAAACCCCAAACCACAAACAAACAAACAAACCACCAAACACCAAAACCCAAAAAACTCGGTACCTTTCCTTTTTTTTTACCTCCTCGTTATTTAAATAACGAGATTCATAACAGCTTATTGTCTGTCCTCCCTTTGATACAAAGGCTGATGCAGTTTTTGTTTATCACGCAAGGCTATTTTAAACTACTTTCATGACAAACTCTTTTCCCTTCAGTCATTTGCTGCAGGGCAGGTTCCAGACTTTGAGAGAACAGCAGAAGAGGACACTTGAATAAAATTCTGAGTGCAGGTTCAGCCTTTTCATAGCAATCTTTCCTGTCTAACTCTTGCTTCCAGCTCTCTGCTGGCTCATCCTGCTGAAAATGTATTTTGGGCCTCATTGTCCAGTGGAAAGGACAGTTTATGTGAAAAATGGGTGCACTGGAGGACTGCGAGGGCAAGAACATTTGTTTCAAAGGGATTTCCCACTCTGGTTGATGTTCAGCTTCCCTCTCAAAGGACTTTGCAGTTTCTATCTGTGAACGTCAGAAGAAAAACACTTCTTCCCAGAAGAACTGAGGAGAAAGGAAATCTGGGCACCAACAATCAATCAGTTGTTTTCACAAGGCTGCAAAGGGAACTGGCATCTGCATAAGCACTTTCCAGTAAATAGCTGCCTCATTTTACATTGGAAGTCAGCAAGCATTGTGGCACATAGAACTGTGAACAACAGAGGGAAACAACAAAAATAATAATTACTTACCCAGACAGAAAACAACCGCTTGGTTGAGTTGCCAAGTGGTCAAAGTGTTTCTATTGGGGGAAAATGGGGAGTTTTACATCTTTCAGCCGATTTAGAATATATGTTACGAATATGTTTGAAAAGGAAAGCAGGAGACTGATGAAATCTACCCCTGAGCTGGGCAGCTTTACCAGTGTGGGCATTTTTTCCATTATGTTCGAACTGGGGCAGAAGCTGTTGGGTGGATGGGGTTATAACTGCTGCTTTTCACTAACTTCAGTGGGAAAATTCTCTAAAACATTGGTTCCACAGGGTGCAAATGCTGAGTCAATGAAATGCACTTAACACCTTGAAGAAATATTATTCACTGATTTAGAAAAGGAAACAGGAAATTAACCTCATATTCTAATCATTAAACCATTGAAGTTGGGTAGAAAAGAGTTTGCTCCTGATCCTCAATTCACATGTTTATTTATTTCTTAATTATTTTAAGCGTTAGCAATGGCTTGTGGCGTAAAATGCATTGTGCAGAGTTGTGTGATGAGATAATACAGCAGGGTGGTGTGGTCTCATCAAGACTGATGACATCATGGCAAGGGAGGGACAGTCAATATGTCCAAGGGCAGGGCCACCATGAACCTGAAAGTGTGATGGAAATTGAATTTTATGAGAGGTTCAGATGCCATCCAGCGAATAGCAACAAAATTCTCAGTAAGAAAAAATGAACAACAAAGCAGGGAAGTAAAGAGCTGCTATTGGGAGATCCTTTTGGGAGGAAGGAACTTCTGACTCCTGCAAAAGATAAGTTGTGTATTCTGATCATGAAAAGGTAAGTTTAATGTGGAAAGTTGCCAGGTGAATTCAAAGGAGGTTAGATTTGACAAAGGACGAGTGCAGCATTTCAAGTCCCGTAGTGATCAACTATTGTATTTCCTGAGTTGTATTACCAGAAAATTTTACTGAGTTTAGATCAAGAACATATCACTATGCCAGGGAAGAGCTTTAGTGTTCCCAAAATGTTGCTGCAAAGGCTCTGTTTCAACTAGTCAATATCTTTTGAGAAAAAAGAATAGACAGGCAGGAATTCAGAAAGATTCCTGACAAAGTCTTGCTGCACAGTCAAAATTAAAAGAGATTGACTACATCCAATTGCAAAAATACAGTGTTGTTAAATGTATCATCTAAACAAAATGTAGATTTAAAGTAAATATATGATTCTCAATCTCTTTGGAAAAACATGCCTCTTTCTGTCCCTGCTCTGCACTGTTTAATATCAATGGGAAAACTAAAAAAAAGCAGCACTAAGCTGTTCTATGAAGAAATTTTATTAAGGGATGCAGAAGGAAAAACTTTCTGCTCAGCTAAATATGAGTATTTTTGAACATATACAAAGAAATGACTAAATTATTCCTGAGAGGTATTCATGTGTTTTATGAAGGGAATCAAATTCTGCAATGTGTTGACAGCAGCTTATTTGTTGTTAATACATTTAAAAGGGCATTTGAGAGACAGTTGACTACATTGACTGCAGAGGAAAACTTTATTACCTGTAGCACAAGATGGGGAGGATTGCAGGTAGTTGAAATATTGGCTATTTTGAATGGACTCACAGTCCGTCTTTTTAAGCTGTTACTGATGGGAATTTAGGTTGCAGCTGTGTGTGAAATGAATCTATTGGCCTTCTTTCTGCAATATCCCAGCTCTGTGCTAACTGGGTAATGGTTTCTTACTAAAGCTGAATCTTCAAGGTTGCAGCTGTGTGTGAAATGAATCTACTGGCCTTCTTTCTGCAATATCCCAGCTCTGTGCTAACTGGGTAATGGTTTCTTACTAAAGCTGAATCTTCAACAGGGATATGCGAGGTGCTGGAGAAAGTGTCTGAATTCCAGCATGGTGCAGCTGCAGGAACTGGTGTGCCCAAGGCCCTCTTTGCTGTCAAGACAGTTAACCAGGTTAGACCAACCAGAAACATAAACCTTTGTATATGTATTTTTCAGTCTAAAGTGTGGTCTTCCATGAGGAACTCTTGTTTTTATAAATCTCCCTCTTTGGAGACTGCTATGCACATAATTCTTTCTTTAGTCTGTCAAAATCCTGCCAAACAACCAGGTTTTTTTTTCTCTCTCTTGTTTTCTCCATCTACCCCCATCCCCACATGCTTTTCTTCATTATTCTTTTGTCATTTCAGACAACATTAATGATACTGGTGGGCCTGGAGTACCCTTGAAAAAAATGGCTTCTCCTATTGTCCCATTTTAAACATCATTTTGGATTTTAATCACTTGCTTCTCATCCACCTCTGACAAAAACATCCCTCCTAGAAGTACAGCACAGTGAGATTTGTGGTATGGGTGAATCTGCAAGTCATTTCACTGCTGTTTCCCACTACTCATCAATAAAATAAAAAATAAATTAAAAAATCATCCAAGAAAGATTTTCTGTTGCTGTGATGAATGCTCAGAAGCTTCTCTGTGTAAAATCAGACTTGGTGTAAATGTTAAGATTTTTTTTATATATAAAGGGAGGAAAAGATCCTGCTTGTGCAGGACTAGGTGACCTCCAGCAGTCCTTATCAACATTGTTGACTTTTTGTGATTCCATGTGGAGGTTTTACCCCACTAAAAATCCAATCTCCAAGCTTCTCCCACCTCCCCACAATTTACCTCAACACCAAAGAGAAATTTTCAGGCAGGGACACCTCTGTATGGGGGAAAGGAATATATATACATTTATTCCTATACAAAATAAATACTATACAAACTAAAAGCAATTATATATATACAATATTAACACACTTCTATCACCCCTCAGACCCCTCCCACAATCAGTTCAGGAGAAGCCCTCAGGCTGATATGTTAGCAGTCTTTCTCTCATTGGGGTATCAGGGAAATTAGTTCCTCTGATCACCCCCCACCACCAGTCTCAGCTCCGTGCTGAAGTTTCCTCTTCATCACAAGGTCCAAGGAGATAGCTCTGAGTCCTTCCTCCTTGGTTTCGTGAAGGTTTCCTCCCGGGGTAAGATGCTGTTTTGAGTTCTTACCCGGAACACGCCTGCTGGTAGTTGACTCTCTCACTCTTCTCCAGCTGCTGCAGCTCTCAGTTTCGGCAGTCCACGTCCAAAGTCGACGCAGAGCACCGCCAAGCCTGCTTGGCCCGTCTCCAATTTCACCTGGAGTTATTTTTCTTCTGGCACTGAGCTTCTTTCAGCCCCTCCTCTTTGGCTCAGCTTCAAATACTAAGCCTTACATTCACCTCCACCTACAGTGGGGGGAAAGCCGTCCCCCGCCTCCCCAGCTTAAGCTACAGGCGTTCGGGTCCATTTATAACTGTCCCAAACGCCCCGCAGTCTGGCTGGGAGCAGGGGAAGAGGGCCTAGCAGAAGGCTTGCCTCCCTTCCTCTTACCTCAGTGGTTGTGAGTCTGTCAGAACACACACAAACTCCTACACACTGCCTTCAGCCCCGCCTTGGCCAGGGCCACCGGGCATGGGGGCCCCCGGGTTGGGGGCCCCATCCACCCCTCGGCTTCTCTCTCTCTCTCTCTCTCTCACACTCTCACACACACAGACTGACTGCCAACAATTTCCAGTTGTTGTGTATATCTAATTTTTACAGGAGCGAATGAGAAGAACTGCAATTGGCTCCTTAGGGAGAACTCTCCTGGGACCCAATCACCTCTAGGCCACTAGGCCCCCTGGCTCCCGGGGGAGGGCAACTCAAACCAAGACATTCCATGAGAAGAAAAGTTTTAGCATGATATTGTTAGAACTTTTGGGAGAAGAACCCGTTAAAAATTTTTCAGAAAAGTTAACAGAGAAAGCTCCCAGGAAACCCAGTGCATAAAGCACAGACTGACTCTCTTAGATGTGACCAAGCCGACAAACCTGCAAAAGCACCTGAGCTGTGCTAAAAAGGTATCCATAAAGGGAAAAGATGAATTTCTGTGCCATCATCACTGTGTCCCTGTGTTATGATAATTACAGGTTTGTTTGGAGAATGATATGACAGACACAGTGTGAGGCACAACTGCCTTGGAGATGTGGACAAAGAAACTCCCTCAAGAAGGTGCATTCTCTGGTCAACAGGTAATTGCTGTCTGGCCTGAATTTTCACAGGGACCTCTGTAAATTAACCAAGGCTGCCATGCTGTCCCCTATTGTTCAGCACCCAACTCTCTAGGGTACTGCAGCAGCTGAAATAAAGAAATAAATCATATTACACTAGAGGCCAGTGAAGGGCTATTCTCTCAGAGTAAGCAGCAAAAGTGAAATTTAACCTTAATACTCCTGCCTGAAATATTTCTTAACATTGACTTCATCATATAACTCTAGGCACTAGTTTAGTAGGAGAACAAATAAACACTATAAAGAGACATTTGAAATTTTTTTTTGTTTAGTGGGGTTTTTTTGTTTTGATTTGTTTTGGGTTTTGTTTGTTTGTTTTTTCTTTTTCTTTTTTTTCTTATTTTCCTTTTCAAACAAGAATAAAATCGAAGCCATTTAAATTCGTTTGCATAAAATAAAATAAATTAACACATTGAATTGAAACATAGAGGGAGGCTCCATTTTATT